TAAATTAATGCGTTAGATCAACCTAAAGTATACCGGTAACACGGTAAAAACAGGTAACTTTTGCGTTGCAAAAGCTAGTAGTACGTCTCTTCTACGTCGTTACATTATTGAAAGGGATAAAAAGCTCTGAATGATTTTATGTTTGCAAAGTGCTATTTTAATATAGTCTCCCTATTTATTTAGAGCTCATACATTTAGAGTAGACTGGACATAGGACCTCGACTAGATAGCAAAGAAATTTAGGCTGATTGAAGAGGTGATTAGGAAGTCTTGGTTCCGTTTCCATGTACCACATTCTATAGAAATTAACGATCATCTACCACGACGCCATTCAGTAATGTTTATGGGAAACATTGAACAAATATATTAAAGCAAAATATTATATGACAGAACAGATGCATATATCATTCGTGCGATAATCTACGCTTGAAAAAGGAAATCACTGAGGTAATAAATGTCTCTAAAATGTTATGCAGAGGGTACAGTTGATGTGCCGGTGCTGGCGGCGGCGTCGCGTCCGGGGTGTCAGACGGCGCGCCGCTATTTCTGGCGGGGTATTTGCGTCGCGACGCCACATCGCACCGCGCCTACACTACACGTGCCGTTTGCTGCTTGCACCGTGCGAAATGCTATTGTCATTGCGACCTTTATTATCATTTAACTTTGCTATTATAAATTTGTCACCGGACAACATCGGAATAGTCAGAGGTATTTTTTTAGATTATAGAAGGACGCATTCACCTGCGCTAATGTATAGAAGAACTCTAGAGGGGACATAGTAAAGAAGGATAGACGAGCTCAGTAGAAACGGCAATAGTTTCCTGAGGGGACCGCGTGAAGGGTGATTTGACCTGGGATATTCGTAGTAATGCAGTGACTAATACCATATATCTTACAAATCAAATCCTATATAAATTCTCTTAGACCCATTGTCAATAGTCGACGTCGTGGTGAAGGCAGCACTTGATATGCCTACATTTGGAAGAGTATATGTAAAATTAAACTGCGTGAGCATAGCTCTCAGTTTGCATAGCTTCCTAATTCGCAATAAATAGCATCAAAAATGTGGATATAACTTTTCATTAAATCAGTTTCTTTGTTTTTGCTTGAGGCATGAACAAAAACCGACACCAGTTCCATACTTTTATTGAAACTACGCGGCTTTATCCGTGCGGAACCAGAAGTTGTCTCCTGTTCCCGTATTTTTAAAAACTCTTGACAGATATCTATCGTGCGGAACTTTTGTATATAAATGTTAAGTTTGTATAGTTGAGTTTTTGAGATGTTTGGGAGTAGTGTAATAGGCGCCAGCTGTCTTGCTATTGAGAGAAACAGATATTGTTTAGGGGAATGGTAGGTAATATCAAAATAGTATTTTTATAAAAAAGGAGCAAATTTTCAGACATCTATCGAATTGGTACAGTATCATTAATAGTAGTTATATAAATATAAGTTTTTATGTGAACGAATATACTGTATGTTCATGTAAATTCCCATTTCTTATGTCCAATGTGCAAACTTTATGATAAATGAGTGTGTCGTAGCCAATATTTTTACTCTACAGTTCTACAGAGTAGTGTAACGCTACTAAAATAAAATAAATGCTTTTAATATAAAATTTGTCGGCCAACATCAAAAGTTGGTGGCTATTTTAATTAGCCCACTCACTGCTGAAAATAAAAACACGGTTAAGAAATATAATTAATGTGTAAGTAAAAGAGCTAGATGCTACGGGAGATTCAAATATGTCGGGGGAAATGTGGACAAATAGAAATCAATATGAGTTGTTATACTTTGTTAATCTATTTCCTTTTAATCCACTTTATGGGTCTGGCTCGCGTAAGTACACCGTGGAGATTTTTTGTGGGTAAGAATCCCACACACCCTCATCAGCCTTACGACGGATGGACTGCCTTTTGAAGATTTTTCCAAACATTAAAAAAAGGTAATTTATTTAATTTGCGAATGCAATTACAGTTATAGTTTGTTTATTTTAGTGTCATATATTTTTACTATTGATTTGATTGACTAGTATTTACTCAAATAGAATATCCTAGGAGGTATCCAGATAAGAGCTTAAAAGAAAGTCTAGGTGGAAGATTCTTGCAGTGGAACAAATTACAGTAAAACCTTATGACACTGAATTAAAATTAAATACGTAATCGATGGTAATCTACTATTCTGTAGGTTTTTTCCAACTTGGTTATAGACGGGGTCGTGTCCTATTTATACGATCGACAACGCATTGAATGGAATAGGATTTTTCCGTTCTAACTCTAGTCCAGACATATGTAGCTACGATAATACGATTGACAATCAAATTCAGTCGTGACAACCATACCTACTAAAAACGTAGGTACTTGTATCTTATAATCAGAATTCGTACAGAATTATACCTTTTACTTATCTAGTAAAATAAGTAAAATATATAAAGTTCTGATTTGTAAGATGTGTTTCGGTTGAATGGTAAGATAAGGCTGTGAAATTACAGTCCACCGGTATGGCAACGCATGAGTGGTTGCCACGGATGTCACGTGATAGAAGATGGTTACCACTTACCATTAGGCCAGGTTGGAACTTAGAAATTGCAATTGCAAGCTAAATCATACAGTTCTTAATTGCAACTTTGGAACTGTTCATATTTAAACACGTACTTACATTTAATCTGATTCAAATGCAAATCAGTTAGAAATTACGCGACAATTAAATCACAAATATACATTAATTTACAACATATGAAGCAGTGCTATCAGTCTATGTTAATCCCATAATGAAATTTAAGACAATTCACTATGGTGAAACACAAACAAGCTGGTGTGGCAAGAGAAATTGTACAAACAATAAATATTACTCGTATTATAAGCTAATCAGTGTAATTAAGATCGTGCACGTATCACATGAAGGTGTGATCCGACTGCTGTAAGTACATTAAATTCGGTTAATTTAACACATGGACAAGCGACTCTGTGCATACTAATAATAAAGAGGAAAGTCTTGATTTTCATGGTTGTATGGAATTCAAAAACACTTCATCATCATCATCATCGCAGCCCGGAAGACGTCCACTGCTGGACATAGGCCTCCCCCAAAGATCTCCACGACGATCGGTCCTGCGCTAAAACACTTGATCGATTTAAAAAATCTTAAATAAGAAAATAATATATTAAACCCGTAATTTAAATACTATCTAAACCAAACTTATTGGATTACATTAGTAAATTATTTCACAGTCATGTCATACGTAGTACAAAAAAAACAGTACGAGGATCCTCTTACAGATACAAGACTTTTGTAAGAAAACATTTTCAACCTCATACAAGTTTATATGAATTAAACACCTCAGAAAATCGGTTAAAATACTATGACGTATGAGGTTAAAAAGCCAAGTTTTTTTTTATTTTTACTTACATTTCTTGTGCTTTAAGTTTCAAGTATTTAAAAACATGCAAGTCTACATACAACGCTGGTAATTGCTATGAACTCAAAAGATATGTCTGGATACAGTATCGTCTGCTCTACCATTATCACTATATTGTGAATAATCAAATAATAAAACTACTTCGACTGGTTCTATTCCGGAAGGGAATGAAGACCGGTCCTGGACAATATGCGGAAGATACAATAGTTGCCTGTCACTAAGGGGAATTGCTTTGCTCTCACCATAACGAGTCTCAAAGTATTGACGACCATCAGGCACAACAATAAGTGAAACCCGTGTTTGATGAGACTGACGTGAATTAGAACAACCAAATGCCGCTACGACCCTTGTTAATCGAATTATGACAGATGTCCCCGAATTTCCGATTTCAAAACTAAGATATTATGTATTCACCAGTACAGTTTACAAGAAGTAGGTTATGTTAAAAAAAACTATCAATAAAATAAAGATATTCTCATGACATTTAAATCCAGATGAAATGCACAGAGGCATAAGACATATGTACAAAACAAGCACTGTATATTTTGGCATACAATTACTCAATATAGCACATCCTATTCAGTGAGACGCGCAATAGAAATATAATTTAAACATTTGATTCGTATGCTCGTAGATACGAGTACAAATAGAAGTGCTAGCTGATATTGCGCAAAAATCATTGTGAATTCTCGCAATTAATGATTGCTGTTAAATTGTATTAATATTGAAATAAAATTTAATTGCGATGAAAATATATGAAACAGTGCTTTAACATAATGAAGATAAATAATGTTCCATACCATTACTAAAGGTGCCTCTTTAATAAAGGCAGCGCATCTGTATGACATGAAGGGTCGGACCGCGAGGGTCATTACAAAGCCATGCTCGTCTTTAAATTATATTTCTAGGGCAAATTCAAGGACTTTCGCTGTTCGGAGTGCTTATTTGTAATATATATTTTAAATTTTAATGAGTTTACCGATGATTCTTAATAGCTTATTACCTATATAGGTGCCAATACAGTTAATTTAAACCATATGTCATTTGTCTTTTTCAGTGTAGTATAGTTTCAATAGAAAAAATAATGAAAATTTATGGTGAAATGTCTGTGTTAAGGAATCTTGTACGAAACTAATATGTATATATTATTTATTTACTATTTAGATTTTGAGTTCGTTAATAAGATGGAAAGACAGTTATATAAATGTAGTGTTGAATGCAATTTTGTTATCAAAGAAGAACTTTGTAGATAGACGTAGTCATCATTTTATATTCACACACTGTTTTGCGGTATAAATGGTGAGATACTCAATAACAGTGAAATTACTGGGTGTTTTACAATTCAGCGCGATCAATCGCTTATATAAGAATCCATATATCATTGAACAAGTGCAAAATAAGTATGTTTTCAAATTTTTATACACAAACAGTGAAAATGATTCGAAATGCTACGAAACCTAATGATTACAGTTCTACGAATTTACAATAGACATCAATGTGACAATAGAGATCTAAAGTATTAACAGCCAACGTATAAGAATGATGATATAAACAGGGAACTAATATTCCTAAATAAACTTACGATGCATTCGCCTCTGGTATGATGTCATCGGCAACCACGTAGATCATAGCGCCGGCTGCGAAGGCTAGCGCGTAGGGAAGTGCTGGCTGGGCTGCTGCCACCGCTACGGCGCCCAACACTCCAAATACAGGCTCCACCATGCCTGATAACTGGCCGTACCTTGTAACAATACATACATACATTATACTAAAGGAAATGTGTCTTGCTCTTGTTTGATTACTATAAATTACATACATACAACGTGGTAATTGTATTCATACTAAATCATATAAAGTTGAACATATATATGAAAAGAGCAGAAGTCAAAATTCATGCACGTTGTTCGTAATTGGATCTAAGATTCCTAATGTAACCAGTAGAAAAAAAAATTACAATTTAAAACTGGTTAAAATTAAACAAAATTAATTTAATTGCAATCTTAAACAGTGGGTGTGATTTTTAGAATAGTAGGTAGGTATGTTATCCAGTAAAGGTATGGTAATCCACATTATTTAAAGTGCTTATGAGTAAAATATACTCATAAGCATAATAAAGATTATTATATATCTTGATCTGTTAAGAATTATTCGGTGACACGCTATTATGGCAAGTTTATTTTTTTGTCACTGCATTCAGTAATTCACTTTGGATATAACTATGAATGTACCTGCACTACAATAGTCTACACAACAAAAACGGAGTAAAAAGTGCTAGAAATTTGACCATTAATACTTCCATTAGGAAAGTATTGCCATTTCTAGGTTGCGAACCGAAAAGTAACACGGAACCCTCATAACATTTTCCGTCCATCTGATAGCGTTATAATTCAGAAAATTCTATGAGTTTTAAAATTATGAGATAGGATATACGATTCATACTCATCTTTAAGTATTTCATTTTAATTAAGATAATACAATTGATAATTAATTTTGGCTTCTTTTAAGAGGGCCAAAGGTAATTTAAAATAAATGAGGTGTTACATAAAAGGCGTTTTAAGAACACTTTTTTGTTCGTAACAACATATTTGTAAATTAAACATAGTTGAAAATGAGCATTTATAAATACAAATGTATACTTGACCGTGTATACTTATTTATATTGAGTACTGTTTTGTAGCTTTAACTTTTATTCTACATAATCTTGTTTGAAAAAAGCTCAAAAAATTCATTAAAATGGGTAGAGGAAAATAATCAATGATGGTAGTCGCTACTAATTTTTAAAAACGTAACTATAAATTTTAACAAGAATGGCAGTCGGTCTTATGCTTTCAATATTACTAAGTAACGAATAAAAGCTGACAGCTTTTTAACTATCGTTTCGATGAGGCTAGCACTCGCATATTTGCGGATTGGGTTCCATGTGTCTATATCGCATAAATCATTATCACTACAGTAATACCTAAATATAAAGTAAGAATCAGCATTTACAAATGAAACCACACGAAATATGAATCAAAGAAACTTAAACGCAAGATTTAGAAGAATATATTAATCTTACGACTTTTTGAGTAGGTCCTGCTTCTTTGTTGTTGAGAACTACGTCAAATCTTTCAATAAATTACAAAGAAGCTATTATATCGTTGATAATTATAGAAATCAATATTTCGACTGTAGATAGTTTAAATATAATATAAAAAATATATATTTATGTAAGTACAATACAACTTACAACCTTACAATCTTAGCATAACTAAGTTATTAGATGTAAAAGTATGCCAAAATAAGAGAAACAATTTTCGGGCATTTTTCAACTATTACGGTTTCATACGACAGCAGGCGATTATTGTGTAACTTACATAAATAATTTCAAATGTACATATGTTAATAGTTTTCATTGAAATACGAACGTTTTGAGGTCAAAAGTTCATGTATAAATAGAAGTTATTCAATAACAAAGCTGTTAATTAGATAAATCTTTCGGAATCAAGCGCATATTAAAAATGTGGTTGCAGTCACCCATATCCATTATCAGAGACCATAATTAGGATTCAAAGTATTAGATGAAGTATGTGGTGCAGTAAATTATATTCAAATAAATCCTGAACTATTTTGTAAAGAGAAATCGTCGAAAGAGATTATTATCATCAGATGATTTTCATTACTTTATGTTCATTAGTTTAGTTTATAACTATTTCTAGCATATGCGTTAGAATCAACTAGCCAGATAGACTTCGCTCAAAACTATTAAGTTCTATATATATTTATAAATGAACATTACATTACTCGATTAGGATATTCTACCTTCGAAATCATATAATGAGATTGACACGGTGGTGAATGATATAGTAAGATGTAGAAGTAAATATACGTGGTGGTTAAGTACCAATCGGCTGTTGCTTTCAGCGCTGCGGAACTTCAAAAGGGCCTCGTGTCTAAAACGCCGATCACTGAGTTAAGTATCAGTGTGTTGTTAATTTTCACGTGTCCGGGTAGCGCGGGGTGGCGGGGTGCGACGTGCGGTACGATGCCGAAAGAGCCCGCTAACGAATTGTTTTGGTGAAAGTGCGGGCCGGTGCCGCGACCACATTCCGATGAACTGGTCGAGGAGCCGCCGCTGTGGGAAACGCCGCCAGGGCCACCCCACACGACGAGCCGCAGCCCATACCTGGCGGCCGCTGCTGTCGTCCAGCCTCACATACCACTCTCCACTGTACTATCACATTTTCAATACAAGCCACTTAGATAACAACTCTTTCTAATAAATGCCTCTGAAGTAGAAGTTTCCTTTACAGTACATCATGCGTACGCGCGTGACATACTGAAAAGGAAAAATAACTATATAAACACATACATTTAAATCATATGTTTACATATTTCACCAGGGTAGATTTTATACACAATTTTTCTGAGTGCCACTTCCGCGTTACTTACGTCTACCACCAAACAGCCAGCTTCATAGGTAAGATGTCTTTCTAATTCAAGAGCGAGATATGGGAGTGTAATTACGAGGGTACAGAGACGTGATACCTTAGTGATTAGACATGTAGAGAAACCACAGGCGTCATATGATTAGGTGATATCCTTGGTGCTATTTATGTATAACGAGACTGTTGTCACTTTCCATCAACTTGTTTGCTACTTTAGTTACATAAAATAAACGGACTACTCGTGAATTAGTACGGTTGTGCTTAGTATGATCAAAGTATTCGATTCCTTGGTGCTGGTATACAAGGGACGGTAGGCCGACACGACGGTGTCGGCGCGAAGGCGATGGCTTTGCAGTGACAGCGCGGGACGTGATGTTATGTTATCGCATGCATTATTCAGCGGGTGGCGAAAGCGGCAATTTGCGACAATATCCACCGATTCGGAGAATCGTCGACTGTTGAGCCGCCGACAAGCAGTAAAACAGGATGCCCGTCACTTAATACCCACATGAATTTAAATAAAAGCTCAAAAGAACAACATATATAGTCTAATTAAAATTTGAAAATAGACAATTAAATATATTGTCAGTATATATAATATAGTATATCTTTATACCCGTAATTTTAGATTTCTAGCTCCATATAGCTGTGTACGGTGTACTAAAAAATATTATCCGTTTAAGGACATTCAGCTGACCTTAAATATGCAAATTCCATGGTAATACGACATAAATCATAATTTCTTTTTTATGTATTATAAATTATTTGGAATGTATAATGCAGTAATTAACAATGGCAAATATACAGGTACCAATAGTGAATTTTCAATGTGTATTTGATACTGAAGGAAAATTCAAGTGTTAGTGAATGGCCTTTAGTGACTGAATACGCGAAGGAGTAAATACGACTCAGTGGTGGTAATTTTCATCTACTTATTTCTGTTACCAAGCAGCTTTTAAGATCTGTTATTGATGAAAAATTATGACGATAAAGCAGTAAAATTACAGAATATAAGGAATGCCATCTGAGTTCAGAATAGCAAAACAAGTACGATATCGCGGTCGTTACATGTTAACGGTTACCACATACCAACAGCTTGTTTGCCATTCATCCATCCATCCAGTTACATAAAAAAAATATTCTGATTTCGTTTCATTCTAACTAAAATATGTAAATAAATGAATAACATCTCGCTAAAATGCTCCCATATTTCCTATTTATAGAGTGAGAATTGCCAAAATCACATATGTGGCAAGAATTTCACAAAAAAAAAACGGTTTTTTAATTATAAATTAATAGTTCCGTAGTTTAAATAGTTTTTTACGAGTACAAAAGAAGTCATGGCATTGCATCTTCCCACTAGAAACACGCCCGCATAGTCAGACAGGGCTACTTATATACTTTACGCAAAAAAATAAAGCTAGTCATTAACATAATTCAGTCTGTGTTTGACCATGCCAAATACTTACCGCTAAAAAACGTAGTCACTGTTTTCGTACAGACTTTGTCTATTAAAGGTATTCTTTGATATTAGACTTAATATTTTACACTTGTGTGCCCCAATAGTGATTTCATATGTACGCGAACTACATGCAATTACAACTCAAATACGTTATATAACTTTTAATGTATTAATTCCAGTAATGAAACCAAAACTTCCAAGTTAATGAATACATATAAGTAGCAACTTTTTCTGTAGGTCGTTTGTTTTTCTATGAACTCGTAAATGATAATTATAATAGCGCTATTATATCCGCAAAATAATTATTTACATTAAATTGATATTACTGCCTTTTTTAAAGTGGATAATTGTAATGGCAAATAAGCATTACTGCCAACTTGATGTAAAACAGCAACGGTAGTATATATGAAGAGCGCCAATGACATTGCAATAAGTACTGTTACGGTTTTGTTACCGTTTATGTGTTGCCATTGCAGACAACCAAAGTGTTAAGCCTCCATACTCTATAATTTCTCTGGCATATCTCATGCTTAAATCGGGCCACAGCTGGAAAGTATACACTATCCGCACAATTAGGTAAGACAAGGTTACCCTTGTCTTACCTAATTATGCGGACAGTACACATGTACACAAAGTAGTACAAATGTCTCCACAAGACGATACCTAGTTTGTTTTTCTTAAAATTTATCTAAGAATCAGCATCTCATACGTATCTCAATTAAATCCATTTCACGGTTGTAAGATGAACGTGTGTTTGCTTTTCTTACCATTACTAGTTATTTAAAATTATTTTAATATAGATATATCTCCCCTGAAAAGTTTTATTATGGTTATAGGAATTAGCAACCGAAG